ATCCTTTTTCCTTGCTCACCTTTCAGGATGAGAAGGTTATGTTAATGTATAAAGTCTGCCTATTTTTGTGCCAGGGCCAAGCCACCATAAGAATGATAACAGGACTCACTGGAATAATGTGCGCCAGGTATTTTCAGAGATCAGTCTAACTGCGATTGCTGACGTTGATTCTAACTGGGTGGAAATATTCATAGGTATTGATTTTGCTCTACCTTTATTGGCCTTCTCTCTTCCTCATCGGCTCTAAGACAAAGCAAATACAATTTCCCAACTTTCCCATTCTCTAAATATTCTTCCTATTTGAATAAGAGACCGTTCATCCAAAGACATAAGTAGGCATGTGTGGCATTTATCTAGCAACTGCTTCACTTTTGAGATTCTAGCAGACTCTTAGAAAATTTTTAAGTGGCATGGGTTCATTTGAAAAGGGAGGTGGGCACCTCAGACATTCCATCATTCCAGAAACTGCTGCCCTTGGTCTCCAGCTTTCTGAATGCACTTGTGAAAAAATCTTGGCAGGGGACATGCATGTGTACCACTCCCATCTAAAGCAGCTGTTTGCAGGACAAGTTGGGGCAGAGCTAGTCTTGTACTGCCAAGGTCTCCTCCAGGTCTCTCTTGGCAGTCAGACACTGAGAACTGCTAATGAAGTAGACTGGGTTTGCAGTCTCAGCTGAGCTGGATGAAGTAGAGGTACTGGGACCCTTGACTGCTGGAGACAAAGCGAATGGGCATCTTGTAGTATAACAAGAATTTGGATATGTGACAAATTTACATTGTGCCTGAATCTCAGAGGCTTATTTGGGATTTTAATTCTGCTCGTTTCACTTTCAGATGAAAAAAAGGGCATATTTTTTCAGGATTCAAGTAGGAATGTTCATACATCTGCGTGCTTTACACCACCTGGAATTAGCTGGAATCTAAAACTAAATCAAAACTAGTAGAGATCAAAGGATGACGCTTTTTAACCTTGTATTAACATGTGCTTTTAGGAGATGTTTCCTGTTATTTATTTATTCGGCTCACCTTGACATCATCTTTCTGAGCTTTTCTGGTGTGTGGAATCTTGGGTGCTGCAGCAGGGGGAACTGATGGGAAACATAGGTAAAATGAAAGTAGTAAAGATGGACGCACTAGATTATTCTTAGTTTTCTTCCAGAAAAGAATCAGTCTTAATTTATAAATGTACACATGGAGGAGTAGCTTTTTAAAATGAAAGCAACTGCAGAGGTGTAGAATGAAATTGAAAAATCAAAGAAAACAAGATAAACTTACTGACTAGAAGCTGTACTCTAAAATTTTATGCTTTGCTCCCCAGATATATTAAAAATAATATGATTTCTGCTATATTTGTTATAGGAAAGCTGAATGTGAATCCTTCTGGAAGTGAAAGAAGACTTCTGTCTTAAGCAAAACTCATTTTTCTCTCATACCTACAAGTGCCAAGGTATGTGTGTCCCGGTAATCTGGAAAGGAACAGTATTGCTGCACAAGAGAGATGCTGAGGTCCCTTCCAACCCTGGCTATTCTGTGATTCTGTAATTCATTGCCTGAGAGAAAAGCCTGCCTGCATGCCCCTCCATTCCCCTTGCAAGGAAGCTGTAGGCCACCATGATGCTTGCTTTCAGTCTCCTCTTCTCTAGGCTGAACAGACCAATGGCCTCAGCCACTCTTCATACATCTTGGTCTCTGTACATCTCATGTTGCTCATCTTCACAGGCTTCCTCTGGGCACCCTCTAATAGTATTTTGTCCTGATACAGGTGCCACAGGCACCCAAATTTGAGCACAGTGGCTTGAGGTGAAGCTGCACCAGCACAGAGCAGGATAATCCCTTCCCTCGTCCATCTAACTGTGCTGCTGGGTTTGATTCACCCCAGGGCAGAATTGGCCTTTTTGGTTGTCAGGGCACACTGCTGATTCAGATTCAACTTCCTGTCAACCAGAATCCCCAGATCCTGTTCCATAGGGCTGCTCTCCAGCCTTTCAACTCTTGGTCAATCCATTTTCAGCTTTATGTGGTTGTTTACACTTAAAATGGATCTAGAACATAATTCACCTAGCCATACTTTAAGAGACATTTTATGCAGCTGACCATAGAAAGAGCAAGGCAGTAAGGCAAGAAAATCTTGGAACACAATCTGTATAGCTTCACAGTGCTGTCTCCACCATGAAAGGGGGCTTAAATTCTGACATCTCGAAAGTGTCATCATCTCCATCTGCTCCTGGGAGGAACACTAAGAGCACTTAACCTTAACGTTGTAAGAGATCTCTCTGTGGTTTTAGTGTGGGGAAAATGCTAAAAACAAACAAACAAACAAACAAACAAACAAACAAACAAAAAAAACAGTTAGATAGAAAGAAAGATAAAGCGAAAGACAAAGCAAATTGGTTAGAAGTTTGAGTGCAGAAGTCACTAGCTTTGAGGCCAGAGTGTTAGTGTTCCCTGACCTGATGTATTTATGTGAGAGAGAAGGAAATGAATTTTTAAAATAAGCATTTTCTTCTTCCATGTATCCTACTTATAACTGCCTGTAGAATAGACATCAGCCACTGGGAATCTCATAAAGGAAATGAGCTGTCCATGGGTGCTCTCGGTGAGCACCTGCTGCCACCTTCTGCTTGTTAGGGCATCTAGAGGTATCAGATGTTCGCATGTGGCAAAGTTTTTCCTCAAAACCATAACTGAGGGCGTCAACAGAGTTATGGTTCTTGTTTGTTTGTTTGTTTGTTTTCCAGAATGATTAGTAGAAGAGGAAGTCTTAAATCTTATGCCCCAGATTGGATGGGATTTTGTTTTCGCGGAGCAAGTGTTCAGGTTCCAGCTTTCTTTTCAGAGAAGCAGCACTGCTGCTGTCTCCCTGTAGCGCTTTTTACTTACTCTGAACCTACTTTTTGACAAATAAGTGGACTCAGTTCTATGCGAGCTGAGGCAAAAGCAAAGTTTCAGACTTCTATCTTCCCAACAGCTATACGCTAGTGATATCCTTAATAGGCAGAAGATCTTTGTGGAAAATCAAGAACATCTTTTCAAGTTCTATTGTTGCATAAGAAAACTCCTGCCAAATTTAGTCTTTCACCTGAGCTGCTTGGATAGTATAATCTTAGGAATATTGATTATTACTTGTAGAGGTAGGTTTCTGTTTATCAGTATGCTAAGGAAATCTAGGAAATAAAACCCAATGTAAGTTTAGGATATTGCCATCCAAACATCAAGTTAAGAACTGTCTGTTGCTCAAGAGACTATCATGTATATCAGAGGTCTTGATTCATGGTCTTCCCTAGAGGTAGCCTGAAAGGATGGAAATCAACCACCATCTTTGACAGAAACAGCCTCTGTATTTCATCAGACTGCCATGAACACTTCCAGAGGTATCAAGAAATCCCTTAATTTGTGTGAGAATACACACGGAGCAGCCACGCCAGGCTGTGCTGTCCTTGCCCACGGATGCCATCCCGCTCCAGCCCGGCCAGCACTCAGCTCGGGACCGCTACGAAGCCCACGGGCCGGGGATCGCGGTGCCGTGCCCGCAGGCCGAGGCCCCGGACGCCGCTTTGAAAGGCGCAGCACGGATCGGCGCTGCGGACGGAGCCCCGGGAGGTACCGACGGCCGCGGCCCCGCACCTCCCCGTTCCCTCGGGCAGCCCCGGCCGCCGCCGCCGCCGAGCGAGGGGGAGGCAGAGGAGGAGGCGCGAGGAGGAGGGCAGGAAGCCGTTGCTGGGGCGGCGCGCGGCTGGGGCGGGCGCTGTGCGGGTGGCAGCCCGTTGGAACGCGTGCCGTTGATCTCATCCCAGTCCTGCTCAGTGGCATCATCTGTTTGAACAGGAGCGAGCTGATGAGCAGCTTCTCGATAGGGTTGGCATTTGCTTTACAGAATCGAAATCCGCTGGCTCTGTAAGTCTTTGCCTCTTACTACCACTAGATGGTAGCCTTAGCGAGCATTTCCCCTTCCTCTGCGAAGTCCAGTTTAATACTCAACTGCAAAGTTTCTAATTGATCAAGTCTGCACTTTTCTCACAAACAGTACAGGGCCAGGATGCTGGCGCTGGCTGCTAGTAACTGCTAGTAGTAGACTCAAGTGAACAAAGCTGAAGGTGTGTTCAGTATATCAAGCCCAGTACAAATGCAAGTATACACTGCATCACTTGCTCTGCCCTTACGGTGGGGGGGGAAGGGGAAGGAGGGGATTTACTCCCTCAGTCTCCACGCAGAGGTTTAGGGATGCAGAGTTCAGGGACCTGAGAAATACAAGGATCCTGACAGCTCTAGTGCTCTCTGAAAGGCATCCTTGAAGAGCAGCCTTGAACGGAGAAGCGTTACTGTGTTCTCTGTAGCTGCAGTTTGGTACTTCAAGGAGTAAACACGCACTTCAAAAGGAATGGTAGAATCACAGAACCATTACGGCTGCGAAAGTCTCACACCGCCACGTCCAGCCCCGACCCCAAAAAGAGTCCTTCTGCGGTTTGCCCTAAGGGAATAATGACGCTATTTGAATAGTCATCATCCAAGTTGCTTTATTGCTAAACCAATATCACGGGAGGACAAAACCGGCCACAGCCGGGGATGGCGGTGCCGTGCCCGCAGGCCGGCGCCCCGGACGCCGCTTTGAAGGGCGCAGCCCGGATCGGCGCTGCGGACGGAGCCCCGGGAGGTACCGACGGCCGCGGCCCCGCACCTCCCCGCTCCGCCCCGCCCCGGCCCGCACCTCCCCGTTCCCTCGGGCAGCCCCGGCCGCCGCCGCCGCCGAGCGAGGGGGAGGCAGAGGAGGAGGCGCGAGGAGGAGGGCAGGAAGCCGTTGTCGCGGCGGCGCGCGGCTGGGGCGGGCGCTGTGCGGGTGGCAGCCCGTTGGAACGCGTGCCGTTGCTAGCGGCTTGCTTGCCGTGAGGCCGCTAAGCACGGCTGTGTGCCGCAACCGGAGCCGAGCCGACGCCGCGCTGCCAGGTGGGGAAACGGGCCGGGCGGGCGGGGAGCGCTTCGAGACGGGCAACGCCGGGCTCTGCCGTCCTCCCGAGTGCCGGCACTGCCTCCGGCATTAAGGCGACCGGCAGCTTTCGTCGCCGCCCGTCTGCTTCGGCCGTTGAGCGACAGAAGACGCGGCGCTGGGGCACGGCGCGGGGAGGCCGAGCCTAATCTCCGTCCCGCGTTCCTCCTCCTGCGCTCTTCTTCATGGAAAGCTGTGCCAACTTCTCCAAACGTACAGCTTCCTGAAAAAGTAAGTGTGGTAAGCCCGTAATTTTGTCAGTGCGGGCAAGATTGTAACCGACAGCTAACAGAAAATAAACATGGGAGGGAGTGGGCTGAAAGAAAGATGCTGAACCACAGAAGTTGCAAGAAAATAACTTGTGATTATATTTCTTCCCACCTAGATATAACAGAGTTGAACAGAGAGAGCTTGTGAAACAAGAGATCTTGAAGGCAAAGCACAACGGCAGGGAGAAGCTCAGCCTCGGATAGGTGTACATGGCTGCAGCCAGCAGGCGGGCATGAAGACGCTAGCAGAGACACAGGCCAAAGAGCAGCAAGACCACCTCAGCTACGGAGCAGCCAGAGCGCCTGAAAATGCGACAAGCACCAGGTACCACAGACACGCACTCAGGGGAGAGACCCCTTCACCAGGGGCTATTCCCCACGCACGGGGGCCCCTCCCCAGGTGTCACAGTTTTATGACTTTTGGCTATCAGTATTACACACCATTACATCATGTAATGCACTGAGGGTTTGACTCTTAATGCTCAGTTCCGAATATTTGTCTGACGGAGAAGAACTACATTTCCCAAGGAGGCTTTGCGGTCAGCGAGGAGATATAACTGTGTGCAAGGTCACCTGATCCTTCTTCTTTGCCTGCTCTATTCCATCTGCACTTCTCCATTTGCAATTTGCCATCTGCTGTTATCCATCTGCTCAACTGAACTGGACCTACACCTCAGCGTTGTGACAAGACCTACCTACCTGACAAACTCTCAATCTCTCTCATTGTATTTTACTGATTGCTAAACGACATTGCTCGACGTCGGATTGTTGCTGCTGTTGTCAATTGCTTTGGAGTTGATGCAGGTGAAGAAGAGCATAGAAAGAAGAAGGATGAGGTGACCTTGCATACAGTTATATCTCCTTGCTGACCGCAAAGCCACCTGGGGAAACGTAGTTCTCCTCTGTCGGACAAGTATGTGGAACTGAGCATTACAAATAAAACCCCCAGTGCATTACACGATGTTACCGTGTGTAATACTGATAGCCAAAAGTCATAAAACAATGACATGGGTCACGGAACCGGGCCAAAGAGGCGGTAAACCGTTGACACCAGGCGGAGGGACCCCAGCCGCACCCACACACAAGGGGATCCCTCGAAAACTCGACGGCTAAGCCCCATCCCACTGCCACGCACGGGGTCCCCTCCCCAGCAGGAGGGCACCCCAGCCATGCTTGCAAACAAAGGGATCCCTCAAAAACTCGAGGGCTAAGCCCCATCTCACCTGCAGGCACGGGGTCCCCTCCCCAGCCGGAGGGCACCCCAGCTGCACCCGCATGCATGGGGATCCCTTGAAAACTTCAGGGCAAAGCCCCATCCCACCTCCACGCACGGGGTCCCCTCCCCAGCAGGAGGGCACCCCAGCCACGCTTGCATGCAAGGGGATCCCTTGAAAACTTCAGGGCTAAGCCCCATCCCA